GCCCCACCGCGCTGCAGGCCTCTCTGGTCGCCCAGAACGTTCTGCTGCTTCTTGGACAGTGTTGGGTTGACATTTAAATTTCCATCGTCCAGTGCCCTCTTTAAAATCAAATATCAAGAGTAATATAGTCATGCTGGACACAGCACACTGCCACTGACCAGAAGTTTCTACTCATTAGTCACATTTCATTCTTGCTTTCTTGAAAATATACCATGAGTTTTTAATGGAAATTTGGGGAATGCCCTAAGTTTAACAGGGTGAAGTGAAGTCCTTGAGAGCTTTGAAGCAGGACAGTCACTGAAGTCATCTAAACCTCTGGTTGCTTTTGAGATCTTTGTCCTTCATGCCATGTGGGATCACTGGGGTGAGCCTGGATGTAGATGTCCGGGTTTTTTTAGTCTCTCCAAATTTCAAATTTATTTCTTTCATTCAGTTTTGGAAAATGCTGGATTATCACCTAAGAATTAGTCTCCTACTTTCTCCTGTGTCTTCTCCTAAACTCTGAGTATATGACACCTTTTATACCCTCTATGTCTCTTAGCCCCTCTGGAATTTTGGGGGGCAGGAGAGTGAGAGAAGTGAATTTCTCTCTCAATGGTGGATTCTGGGTATCTATTTAAAGATCTTCCCACCCACCCTGTAAGTCAGAAATATTTCTTCAATGAACTTATTGATCTTTTTTAATATAAAGTATAATATTTTTATGTTAGATGGACTATTTGGTACTTTTTCAAACCTGCCAGGATCTTTTTTTTTTTAATAGCATCTTGTTTTTTGCTTTGGTATCTTTTGTTAAGCTTCTTGCCCCATTCTTATTTTATATTCTGCTTCTAAATTCCATCAAGTGCTCAGGTATCCCATTGTGCTGTTTGTTTTTGCTGACTCTCACCTATCGAGGCTTCCACAGTGTTTCATAATTTTGGATGGTGAATGTTTGTTTCTCTGGAAATCTTGAAGGCCTGAGTTGATGGTGTACCACCCAGAGAGGATGTGTGCTTGTTAATTTCTCAGCTTATTATTTCTTAGAACACTCAAGTAATATAGATTGAAGCCTTAATTTATATTGTACAAGGGCAGGCTTGAGGTTACAAACTCATAAAGAGCCCCGCCCCTTGCATAGGCTGAGATATTTTTTTAAAAATCCTCACTTGAGGATATGTTGATTGATTTTTAGAAAGAACCCTGGCTGATGTGCCTCAGTGGATTGAGTGCCTGCGTGCAGACCAGGTAGTCGCCGGTCCAATTCCCAGCCAGGCACATGCCTGGGTTGTGGTTCAGGTCCGCAGTAGGGGGCCTGTGAGAGGCCACCTATCAATGTTTCTCTTGCATGTGGATAATGTTTTTCTTCATCCTCCCTCTTTCTAAAAATAAACAAACTATTTTGTTTTAAAAGAGAAGAAGGGGAAGAAGAGAGAAACATCAATGTGAGAGAGAAACATTGATAGGTTGCTTCCTCTACACAACCCTGCTGGGAATTGAACCTTCAGCCTAGGTGTGTGCCCTGACCAAAGATTGAACCAGCAAACTTTTGGTATATGGGAGGACGTTCCAACCAGCTGAGCCACCCAGCCAGGGCTGTCCTTCAGGATCTTTTTTATTTTTAATTTTAGAGAAAGGGGAATAAAGAGAGAGTAAGAAAGGAAACTTAGAAATGCAAACAAACTTACTTGCTTTATAACTTTGCTGGCTTTCAAGGACGATTTGAGAGGAGGAAAGATTTTCAAAATCAAAGTTGAGGAGCTGGGGAAATGATTACATATAATCTTCTAATCTGAGAAAAAGGTTAGCATTTGAAGGGGGTCAGAAAGTGCCACCCCAAAATATACCACTTTGGAATGAAGACTATTTTGAGCTGAAGGCATTTGAGAATCAACAGCTACAGAAAGAGTTCTCCGCCTTCCCCTTGTCTGCCTGAAGGCCGGGTGTGACTCCATTGGTGGAGGTGGTCCGCTCTGTGTCAGGAGGAGAGGAGCACTGAGAGGCCTCGAACAGACTGTACTAAAATCACCCCGATCTTTCATTAGTTATCCCATCAGCTTCCTAGTCACTTCTCCACACTTTATTGTCTTTTTGAAGTTGGACAGTAAGAAGCTAGGAAAATTCCTCAGCAAGAGGAATGTGGAAACTGAGATAAATGGCTCAGCAAATTGGCCAAACAATTTACAGCCAGATGCAGAATGTCACCTGGGTGGAAAGCCCCGGGTGCCAAGCAACAGGTGCCAGGCCTTGTCCTCTGGGTGGCCTTTTCTCCCCGGCAAGTCACCACCCCTGACCTTTCCTCCACAGAGAGAACATCTAGGCCTCAGTTGTATTTCAGCTGCAGGCCCTGTAAAGCAGCAAAACCAGATGGGCTATGACAGAAGCAGCTGAAAGGACTCCCTGACATGGTGCTGGCCAATCAGTGGAGACTATGACCCTGAAAGGGCGCATTAGAGCTCTGAGCAATGTGGCTCAGTTAGGGAGACATCATTCTACAAAGTGAAATGTCGCTGGTTCAATTCCCAATCAGGGCACGTGCCTGGGTTGCAGGTTTGGTCCCTGGTCAGGGGCATACATACTAGAGGCAAACAATTGATGTTTCTCTCCCTGTCTCTTTCCCTCCCTTCCCCTCTCTCTAAAAATAAATAAATAAAACCTTTTTTTTTTTAAAAAAGGGTACACCTGGATAAGCTGATAAATATTTTATTGAAATCTCCCTTAAAACTCCCAGCCTTTTAAAACCCTTAAACCAAAGGTCTCAGCGGTGTGCTCTGCCTCCTTGGAGCATGCCCATGCCCTTCCCTTCCTCCTCTTCTTCCCCCACATGCACCTCCTAAACTCTAAAGGATCCCATGAGACTTGCAACCAGGGGAGTGATGGGCAGCAGCGCTCCTCCCAGGCTAACCCCCTGAACCTGTCCCCAAGGCTCCCTTTCCTGTGGCTTTTCAGTGAGCTAACAGCAGACCTGCCTTGGCTCACTTCTGTCCCGTAAGTTTCTGGAGAGCCAAAGCAGCCCCACCTGGGCTCTCTCCTGTTGCTTATTCCATCCTAAGACTTTCCTCGTTTCGCTGTTTCCAGCTTTAATAAACATCCTCTCAAAATCAATTAGACTTGTGTCGCGAAATCTTTGCTGCACAAAGTCAGGATCCCACACACTACCGACCCACTCCGGGTCCAGCCCCTTTCAGGTGACTGTCACACAAGGCAAAACCTACTGGCCAGTTCTGGCTGAGGCAGGTCATCATGAAGACCTTGGAAAGATGAAGATCTAATACATATATACATACATACATGTATGCACACACATGCATACTGAACAAAAATTTCATGCCATAAGAAACACAAATCATCTAACCTGCTGCGGAAAGTAGTCAGTTGCTTAAAGTCAATCTTAGAGCTGCAGGACTTCAAAACCAAAAGTTACTGCTGAGCTAATTGTAAAATAATCATTTCATACCTGAGGACTTGGAAAAGATCCTAATTTTATCTCCACTAAAGGCAACTGGTGACTAACAGGAGGCTCAGTTTCTGTGCTTGTGGCCAATAGGAAACATTTATATTTTAAGCCTTTAAGAAAAAATTACCATCACTGAGTGTAGTCAATAGATAATTAGGCTAATGCAGTACTACAGGGTGGGGCAAAAGTAGGTCTACCGTCATGAATATATGAAGCAGAGTTGATTCTTATATTATTATTTATTATTATATTTGTTTGCATTACAACTGTAACCCTCTTGCCCACCCCTGTGTTTCAGTGGCTTGCTTTTTCAATTAAAACTATGAACATCTTTTCATGGCAGAGGATACTGCTGCTATTTTTTTTTTTTTTTTACGAAAAAGACTTTGTAGTATTGTCCTATATGCATGTACAATAACTTATTTAACCATTCTACAATTTTTGAGTTTTTAAATTGTTTCTAATATCTCATGATTACAAACTATGTTAATGAAAATCTTTAATACATTTTTGTGTGGGTGTATAGTTTTATCAGATACTCCTAAGTGACATTTCTGGACCAAAGTGTTTATATATTACAAATTTATAATTTACTAAGTAAATACATAATGTAATAAGTCACAATTAAAAGTTAATCTAGTTTAATTCCCCCAAAGTGAAACAATTTCGATTCCCACCAGCAGTGTGTGGAAAGCGCCCTTTTTCTCATACTCTCAATAACATGGCATTGTATCAGGCTTTTAGCTTGTAGTTAATTTGGAGAAAAAAACATTAGCAGTCAACCACTAACAAGCAGTGAGAAAATATGAAAATATTAAAATCAGACAAAGCAATTCAAGGCCAAAGGGATTTTTAATGGTTTTCTTTTATTTTAATAGGCCACCCTCTACCAAGAAAATTAAAGAACCATAAGCCTTCATGTATTGTAACTATAAAAATGCCAATGGCAATTTCATATGGTTTAATCTAATTAATTACATTGCTTCAATACACATAATGCAAAGGTTCAGAAATATAAGAGTAAATTGCTAAATCTGGACTTACAGAAATCTTTAAAATCTTTTTTCAAAGATGGGCAGATCAGGAAGAATAACTAGGATAAAGTACTTAACAAGCTTGACCTAGTAAATATATGTAAGTAACAGAGTGTAGATTTCTTTGCACATTCCCATGGAATATTTAGTGCCTACCAGGGCATACATGGGCATCTTAGATTTACTAAAAACCTATGTTTTCTGGGAATAGTGATTTACAACAGTTTAGGTTATATCCTAGGGGAAAAAATGTTCTTAATAGGAGTAAAAGAGGAAAGGCAAGGTGTTTAATCAAGTTTTACAGAAAAAAAAAGCCAGCCTCAAGGAAGAATGCCTTGCTGTCCTGCTTGGCTTCAGCGAGGACCCCTCCAGGCTCTGTCTCCGTTGCTGGAGCCTGCAGTCGCTTCTGCCTCCTCAGCACTCTTCTATTTCTGGGTTAAGGAGCTCAGGCTTCTCAGACGTGGCTTGAGGAACACAGGCCCCTAATCCCGGAGCATAAGAAGCCTTGGAACTCTGGAGGGGCGGGCGTGAGCAGTGGAGAAACTGTCTTCAGGAGTTGGGCCCGAGTGTGAGGCTGGTACCCAGCTATGCACTGCACCCCCCTTTCAAATCCTCCTGCAGGCCTGATCTGACTGAGGTCAAGGGGTGCCTACTGCCATGAGGCGGGGAGCCCTGAGGCTTGGCCAGGGCAGTGGGTGTCGTCATTGCCTCTGCCGGAGAAGGCATGTCAGACTAGGCCTGCAATTCCTTTTTTGGACTCCAGATCTGGAAGAAATTAATTTAAACCTGGAATCCCTCAGCCAATTCTGAAAGCAGGATGTGGACTATACCTGTATGTTAAAGTGGTTCCTGTCTCGTGTTTCATAGTGAAAAATACCGAAGAAGGTAAGAGCTTTCTTTCTAGCATAAAGTACAGAAATGGATGAGACCATGAAAGCAACACACGTATTTTCACACAGGAAACAGGTGGCAGAGGTCAGAGCAGGCACCTTTGTTATCTCACTGACTTACCCAGAGAGGGCCTCTGCTGTGCGTGTTTTGAGATATTTGAGTCCTGGGTGATGAATCTTCCTTCTATTTTGGGGGCTCATTTAGTGGGCAGATAAACAATTACCTATGCTTTTAATGATGATGTCTAACATGGACGATGCTAAGTCAGGTCCTGGAGGGCCAAGGAGTCTCAGCCGTGCAGCGTAGACGTGCTGGCTGCCTGAGAAGCAGGCTCCGCGGGGGACTTGCCCGCAGGGGAAGTGGCTGCTCATCACCAACATGTGCTGAACAATTCAACAATCTGAGACGACATCAGGCTAATTGTTTATGTTTGATCTTTGTCTTGAGACTCTTTGAGATTTATTATTTTTCTCTTTTCTATTCCTTCTTAATGACTTGCAAAACATCCTCAGCTGGTCCATACACAATGTCCCTTTCTTCTCTTACGGCAGCTGAATGCGATACCTATTTAGTCAGAGTCACTTTCTCATTTTTTCCTTTATATATAAACATTTTTGAAACATGTAGTTTACCAATTTTTAATTATTAAAGTTGTAATAGAACTGTTTAAGTTAAAAATGAAACATCCTTACCTAACCACATTATCTAGAGGTAATCATTGTTAACAGGTGTGTGCTCTTTGAGTATACTCTGATTGACTTATTTTTTATATGGGTGAGATCACATTAAGTACTGTTCAAAGCTGCCTTTCTTCACGTGACAATATATCTTGGAAATATTTTGTGCTATTACATGTAGACTTACCTTGCTCTGTGTCATGGCTGATCATGGCTAAAGGCTATTCCATTTTTTTTTAATGCACCATGATGTATTTTGTCAACTCTGTATGGACAAATACTGAAGAAGCTTTTTATTTTGGGGGAAAACAATTTTAAAGAAATTTCTGAAAGCGCCTTTATGTTTTTCATGACAATGACAAACATTTGCGAAGTACTCCTCGTATGTAACCTCATCCTACCCTCGTAACACCCCAGCAATGGAATCATCCTGATCCCCACACAACAGAGATCCAGACGAGGCCTCGGAGACCCTCGGCAGGGATCCTGCACATCTGGGCCAGTAGAGTGACAGCTGGGTGCCCCACCCCATGATGTATGAAAGCACATCTCTTTTGTCCCTGGGGACCTAGGGTTAGTTGCAACTGGATATGCTGCCTGATGAGAGACTTTATTTCTTTTACTCCTAGAGGCCGTTTTAGGACTTTTATAGGTTACTTTAAATTTTTTTACTTCCTCATTCTATAGCCATGTTATATATATTTCTACTTTCAACTCTTTTTTATAGGGTAGATGATTTGACAAGGTTGTCTTGTCCTACTACCATGTTTGGATTTATAAATGTATAATAAACAAGGTATTTGAGGGGCAAAAGAGAACTTAGGTAATAACAACAATCCCTGACCCAGCAATAATCAGTATCCATCACATTGGTTTATGCTTGTCTTAGCTCAGGCTGCTGTAACAAAATGCCGTAGACTGGGTGGCTTAGACAACAGACGTTTGTTTCTCAAAGTTCTGGTGCCAGCAGATTTGGTTCCTGGTGAGAGCTCTCTTCCTGTCTTCTAGACAGCCACCTTCTCGCTAGGTCTTCACTGGCAAACAGAAAGAGCTCTGGTCTCTCACTAATCCCATCATGGGGGCTCCGCCTTCATCACCTCATCTCAACTTAATCATCCCCCAAAGGCCCCACCTCCAAATACCATCGCGTTGGAGGTTAGGACATCAGCACGTGGGTTAAGGGGGATGCATTCATTTCATAGCAATGCTACATTAGAAAGCATGTCTTTTACTGCCTCCTAAATTTGAGCCAGCGAGAGACATGTTTTTGATTGTTGATATTTTAAAACACATGCGATATGAGATTCAGTCCATCAACATATGTTGTAATTCTACTGTATACTGAGAGCACTTTAAATATATTATTTACTATTCTCAGTGATATATACATGACAAAACAGTCTGTGAGAGGTTAAATGGCCAAGATCTAGGAAGAAGCTGAGCTGGAATTCTCTACCCCATCTGTACACTTCCAAAATCCAAATGCTGCACTATACAACATGGCTCTACAGGCAGTTTAAAGATTATCAAAGCAATTTCTGAGTCATTGGTGGACTCAGTCATTGCTGATGTTCCTTCCAGCTCTAAAACGGTGTGGGATTTGGTTCACGATGGCTCCTCACTTTCCCTCATGCTCAGATTCTGCTTACATGACATCTCTTACATCTAGGGACCATTTTGCTGAAAAAGAAAAGAAATTATAGTCTTCTTTTCTTTGACTATTTTTAAAAAGTCAGTTAACAAAAGTAAGATGAGCCTTTCATTTGGATTTGCAAGGGAAAAGATAACAACTTATTGGCAACCCCCAATATAATAACCTCCACAAATAGAGGAAGGCGAGTGCGGTAGAAGTGAGGAAGGGGAAAAATATTGAAATAGAATCCACTGTTGACATAGTCAGTACATCTCACATTGCTTCCTGAAGAAGAGCTAAAGAAAGATTCATCTTTCCTGAGTAAAAATAAATATTCATATGGCATGAAGTTAATTCAATTAGTATTTATTGAGTCCCTATTATGTGTCAGGCACCATGCTAAGTCCTGGATATAAAAACGGTGAATTTGCTTACACATGGTCTTTGCTGTTGAGGAACTCACAGTCTAATGTTAGAAAGACACAAAAGAAAAGTTTAATATGGTTATTGCAGTGGTGGAGGTGTGAATAGGACACTCAAGAGCTCATGGGGGATTGGTATGTCAAACTGGCTTCCTTAAGAAAGGTGATGCCTAAGATGAGCCTTAAGAACTGAGTGGATTTAGCCAAGTTAGAAGGAATGGAATAGGAAGAATATTCTAGGTAAAAGCAAAAACACAAAGGTCATTAGTGGTCAAAGAGCAGAGTTTGGAGAAAGTTGAGAAGAGAGATGAGGCTGGAAAAGTAGGCTTTTGAGAAGATGAGTTCTATTTGCAAGACATGGAATTCAAGGCATTCCAGTGAAAGTTTAGCCAGAAGGTGGGTATATGGGGCTGATATTTAGGAGTGGCCTGCAATGAGGTATAGATTTGAGAGGTGGGAATTGATAGTTGAAAATGTGTTATTTAAGCCATCCAGGGAGTTTGTACAGAGTGAGAAATGTTGTTTGAGACTAGAATACAAATAAAAATCGACACTCGAGGAATAGACAGGGTAAAGTGAGCTCAATAGGGAGAAGTAAATAGAGTAGCAAGAGTAAATAAAAGAGAGTCTGGCCTCATAGAAGCCTGAGACTAAGGAGTAGAATTATAATCAAGGAAGACTTGAGGCAGATGAGCTTACTGTTGTGGCAAAGTAAGGAATGAAAAGATGAAGGCATCGGAGACATCAGCATCAAAGGTTCTAATGAACAGTGAGGAGATAAAAAGTGGTCTTAAGAGGAATTAAGGAGACAATATGTAGTCTATTCCTGGAGAAGAAGAACAGAGAGGTTGGATTATACCTGAAAAGATATGGGAGGTCAAAGGGTGATTGATGATAACAATGATATGATGATAAGATGATGATAATGATGATGATAAATTAATTTGAGAAGAGAAGAAACTTCAGTATGTTTCCAGATGTAAGGAAAAAGCTAGTAGAAAGGTTAAAAACATCGGAGAGACATGTAATGACAAACGGAGGACATTTTCAGGGAGGAACACCTTATGCACTGAGATTGGAGAGGTGATAGTCTCAAAATCTTTAAGATGTGGGACACAAGGTTCATAGACAATTTGTTCAACCTGAACTAATACTCTGTCTGAATCTCCCTACTGCAGATTCCTCCTTCCTTCTATCAGCGAACAGTTCTCTTTCCCTTGGACCTGCTGTCTGTGTTCTGAAGAAATAGTGTTCTTATACCATGGGAAGTGGTACCTCAACCCAACATCATTTTGCTTTCCAGAATGCAGAGAAAGGTATGTGTTTCCTAGCCCCCAAACTAGCTCTGGGTATCCCAAAGCTCATGTTGCATAGGGAGAGACTTGTCAGGATAGAAGCAAGAAACCATTATATTTCTCCTTATGCAACTCTTAAAAAAAAAGGACCCTCACCCAAAGATATTTTTGTTGATTTTAGAGAGAGAGGAAGGGAGAGAGAGAGAGAGAAACTTTGATGTGAGAGAGAAACATCAATTGGTTGTCTTCTGTACACACCCAACCAGGGATTGAACCCACAGCCTAGGTAGGGACCCTGATGGGGGATTGACGTGCAACATTTTGGTGTACAGGATGATGCTCCAACCAGCTGAGCCACCCAGCCAGGGCATTCTCCTTACACAACTCTTGAATATCAGCACCTTCTTGTGTCGTGGCCAGCAGAAATGTTCAGCTGAGTATTTAGGACTTGGTGAAGTATGTTTGACAAGACTAAAATTTACTTGATGGGTTAGTGCTTAAGCATCAGGTGGAAGAGGCTGAGCCAGCAAAGGAGGCTGAAGAGAGGCAGCCAGAGGTGTGGGAGGAAGCAAAGGAAATGGGGTAGCACCTTGTTTATGGGGCTCGCACATCTCTGTAAGCCAGCAGCTTCCTTGTTTTCCAGTTTGGCAATATGTCCCAGGCGCGTCTCGCATTTTTGGCCCCAGACCAGGAATAGAGTGTAGGATATTCATTGCTGCCAGGTTGGGTATTTTTTCTACATTATTTTAGTGAACAGGTGCAGAAAATATGTATTATTTATTAAAAAATAATGAAAGAAGTCATCATGGCCAATTTGTATTTAGGATAACAATATTTTTACTTAACAACCTTGATATTGTGTTTATATCTCTTTTCTCTTTATCCCTAATGACATCACTATAGAATTATTTAATCTATTCCATAATATATACATAATAGTTTCAGAATAATAATAACACCACTTTATAAGCAATATGATTACCGAAAACTCTAAGATTTCTTTGTAGTGCTTTTGTGCTTTGGCTCTATTTACTAGAGGTGTACAAACTACTGAACTTTCAAGCCATTTGAAATTACTGCTTTCTGTGTAGTGACACCACCAACTTATACATGGTTATATTTACTTGTTTAACTTATGCTTTTGATTTTTAGAGATTGATATTTTTCACATTAATTTAGGTTTGTTTTATAATTTTGTAAAACATTTATACAATTTCTGTTCCAGTTATCTGTTGCTGCATAACAAACTATCCCAAAACTTAGTGGTTTAAGACAGGCATTTTATTCTGCTCATGATTTTGTGGGTCAGAAACTTGCAAAGGACCCAGCTGGGTGGTCTGTCTCTGATTCTCAGGGCAGCTTGGGCTGGAGGCGCTACTTCTAAGACAGCTGTTCATGCAGTGTCTGATGCCTTGGTGCCCTTTGGCTTCTCTCTCCTCAGTGGTTGTCTTGTTCTTAATGTGTGGTCTTAATAACAAGGTGCATTTGTAACTTGCACCCCAGAATTTAGTCTATACCAGGCCAGGGCAAGAGCAGCTCAAGTGTATTGTATTGAGCTGTGGGGAGAGGATCTGAAACTACCCTGTACCTCACAGTGCCCATCTCAGTCAAAGTTAACGCAGGCCCCAGAGAGAGAACTGGAAGGGAGAATAAAGAGGGAGAAAGAGGCATTGCCTGCTCCCCCTGCCCTAAGCAGCCAAAGCAGGTCACAGGATATAAGTATGAGGTCTGTCCAGAGAAAAGTGCAGCCAGTGTTAGTATAATGAGACCAGGTAACACAACATCAATGTAACCTGGCAGCCCAGGAGAGTGGACCGTAATGTGCAAGTGTGAACAATGCAAATGTCAGTGGGGGCAGTAGATGCTGTTGAGTGAGTATGTGTACTGTGTGGCCATCACATTCAAAATGACTGAGCAAGTAGAGCAACAAATCTTCATCAAATTTTGTGTTAAGCTTGAACTTTCCTCTGTGGAAAATACTTGGATGATTGAGAAGGCTTTCGGGGATGATGCAATGAGTGCAGCGCAAATAAAAGTGTGGCATAAATGCTTCAAAGATGGTCAAGAATCTGTTGAAAGTGATCCACATTCTGGGAGGCCTGCAACACGCAGAACACCTGAGAATGTTGAATGTGTACAAGGCTGCAATCAACAAAGATCGGCAACTGACAGTGCAAGAACTAGAAGCTGATCTGGGGATTCCAAAAACTACTGCATCTGAGATTTTGAGGCAGGATTTTGGCCTGAACCATGTTGTGGCAAAATTCATTCTGGGGCTTCTGCTACCAGAGTAGAAGGAACATGGTGCCATAGTTGCTAATGACTTGATTCAAACCACTACCAATGAATCAGATTTCCTCAAGAAGGCCATATCCAGAGATGAATCCTGGGTCTACAGCTATGATCTGGAAATGAAGGCTCCGTCGTCCCAAGGGAAGTCCCCTGGTTCTCTATGCCTGAAGAAGGCGCAGCAAAGTTGCAGCAAGATCAAGACCATGTTGACTGTGTTTTATGATTGGGGAGGTGTTGTTCATCATAAGTACACCCCTCTTGGCAAACAGTTAATAAGGAGTACTACCTCAAATGTTCTTCATCAATTGAGAGATGCAATACAATGAAAACGGCCACAGCTATGGGCTACTGGTGATTGATGGCTTCATCCTGATAATGTGCCTGCTCACGCATCACATCTCATGCAGAGTTTTCTGGCAAAACATTGAATCACCCGGGTAACTTAGCTCTCCTACAGCCCAGATTTTGTGCCCTATGACTTCTGGCTTTTCCCAAAACTGAAATCACCTCTGAAAGGGAAGAGATTTCAGACCACAAATGAGATTCAGGAATATATGAAGGGGCAGCTGATGGCGATTCCCACAAAGGATTTTACACACTGTTTGAACAGTAGAAGAGACACTGGGAGAACTGTGTGAGGTCCCAAGATGTCTACTTTGAAGCGGACTGAGGCATCATTGTCCTATGTACAGTGTTTCTTGTATCTTCTATCTTCTTCAATAAATATCTCTATTTTTCAGAGTGTGTGGCTGGGTACTTTCTGGACAGGCCTTGTGTGTCTAGTTGGCAGCACTTGCCTTGAAGTGTTTGAGGCAAGGTGATCGCAAGCCCCATTTCAGGGAACCTTGGTGGCCATGATATTCCTGTGTCGTTTACCCGTTAGTGCAAATAAGAATCACATGTGGAGCTTATTCAACATGCAAATTTCTGGGTTCCCTGTGGAGATTCTGATGCTGTTCGTCTAGGGCAAAGTTCAGACTCTGTGCGTTTCTGTGTGTTTCAACATCAGATATCTGTGTGTTTCCCACGAGTTCCCAAAGGGCCTGTCACACTTACCCTGGGCACTTTTTCACTCTTTTGAACATGGATTTACAGAATTCAATTGGTAGTGTTTCAGCCTCATCACTTATTATTTAGTGAGTGCCTTTGAGAAATATGTGCAGTATGGCATTTTTTTCTCTCACAGGAAATCAAATTCAGCTTTGCTTAATTTCCTCCCAGGTTCTTTTTTTTCCCACTCCACCATCATCTTTCTTAGGGAAATCAGCGAGAGTTGTATTAGCTCTCTAGCACAAGCTGAATGTATTAAATCGGCCTGGAATGTATTAAATCTGGAAATGAAGGCTCCGTCGTCCCAAGGGAAGTCCCCTGGTTCTCTATGCCTGAAGAAGGCGCAGCAAAGTTGCAGCAAGATCAAGACCATGTTGACTGTGTTTTATGATTGGGGAGGTGTTGTTCATCATAAGTACACCCCTCTTGGCAAACAGTTAATAAGGAGTATTCATGAGGATGCCCCGAGTGAACCTGCAGGCCTTCTTCTGTTAGCCGGTTTTACCTGCGAATGCTTCATCCATCCCCGGCGGCACATCCAGGACCGGAGCCAAGGCAGAGTCTAGTCATTGATGTGGACAGCTGTCCTCCTCCCTGCACCACAGGCCTGAAAGCCCATGTGGAGAGTTAAACGTACTCATGCCACCCTGTGGTGACAGTCACCTAGCACAGCTCCTGGCAAAGGGAGAAGCCCGAAGGCTGCCTGGGCATCTGGCAGTCGGCACAGTCATGGAAGTATCACGAGGGGGCGCTTCGAGCCTGCAGGGCGGTCAGATATGGGGACGGCCAGCACAGAGCCCGGCAAGTGCTCATCACCGCCTGACAGTACAGTGTGCAGTCAGTTGTGTGTTTTTGTTGTTCATTTTCCCCGGTCATCATCCAGTTCATCACCTTGTCCAGATGAGGACATCGAGGCCCATGAAGGTGACTCACCTGAGGCCACATAACTGGTCATGGCAGTTTCAGGCCCAGAACCCAGACCTCCTGACATCCAGTCTGTTGTCACAAATCAAAATATCCCCCACCCCCAACCACAGCATTATGCCATCCTTCAAGGATGCTGCGTCCTCGTAGTCCCCCACCCCTCCTGGTTTTCTTATCCTTCTCAGAATCCTGACAGGGCAGCCTTTTCATCTTTATGCATATAAATGTTTTCACTAAAAAGTGGGAACTCACCCTGGCTGGAGTAGCTCAGTGGATTGAGCGCGGGCTGCGAACCAAAGCATTGTCAGTTTGATTCCCAGTCAGGGCACATGCCTGGGTTGCAGGCCACGGCCCCCAGCAACCACACATTGATGTTTCTCTCTCTCTCTCTCTCTCTCTCTCTCTCTCTTTCTCCCTCCCTTCCCTCTCTAAAAATAAATTTAAAAAATCTTAAAAAAAAAAAGTGGCAACTCCCATAACCCCCCAGTGATGTGAATATAACCAAGGGGTAAATTAAAAATGGAGGTGGTATGGGTGGCATGAATGGGGCAAGAGCACCCTGGCCAGTGGGAAGGCAAATCCTTCCTACTAGCAGCAATGAGTAGTGCTTCCCCTACCATCGTATCCCCACATTACAGCATGGAGGCGCCCCTCACCTCCCCCCAGGCCCAGGGAACCCCAGCTCACAGGCTTGCTTCTCCATCCGTGTCACAGCCTTCAAGGCAGCGGCCCTGATCCAGAGGTGGTACCGGCGCTACACGGCACGCCTGGAGATGAGGCGGCAGTGCACCTGGAGCATCTTCCAGTCCATAGAGTACGCTGGGCAGCAGGACCAGGTCAAGGTGCGCTAGGATGTGGGAGGGGGCCACCTCCAGCTCTGCCTCACAGCCCCTGGGCAACAAGGAGGTGCAGCCGATCTGGGCCACTCCTGGGTTCTCTTCTCACTCACCTCTAAAGCCTGGTCTCCTTGGGTTCTTCTGCAGCTCCACGATTTCTTCAGTTACCTGGTCGATCACTTCACCCCCAGCAGTCACAATGAGAGTGAGTATGAGATTCCACGTGGCACATCCTCTTGTCTCAGGGTCAGAGATCTGGGTGAGGTGGATGATGCACAGAGAGTAAAAAACACATGCATCTGGTGACAGCCGGGAGGACAAGGAGCAAGGATGACAATAAATAAACGGCAGAGTGGACTTGTAACATAGGTTCTTCCAGAAACACACCTGGAGACAAGAATTTGAGTGTAAGGAGTTTATTTGTTAAATACAGGAACCAGTGGGGGTGGGGGGCAGAGGGCGTGGGAAGGAATTCAGGGAAGGGAAGGTAGTCAAGAAAGGGCGGCCTACTAAGGTAGCAACTCAATGTGCATGGGAAATAGTGCAAAACGCGATCCTCGGAATGATCCCACCTGAAGGCTGAGAGGACCACAGTCTGTATGGCAGCTCCTGAAAGCCCTTGGTTGGAGCTGCTGAGAGGGTCAGGCAGGAAGGGGTGTTAGTTCCAAAGCATTTCGGGCCTGCCAAGCAGGGCTCTCTGTGGATCCAGGAAAAATCCCTGAGGCTAGAGATGCAGGGCCAGGCAGTTAGAAATTGCCTGAAAGATCTGAAGCATCTGCCCCCTTCACTAAGTGCCCCATAAATGCCTGTGAGCCTTTCTCCCACTGGGGCTTTTCCCTTTCTTTGTAACAAACCTAGGCCCCTAAATTTCCATCCTTTCTAAGTCTAACAAGTCTCAATCTTTTAAAACAAAGGTACAATGGAGATGGCATAAGGACAGAACCTTTGTCTCCTGCCCATCTATCCTAACTTGTGGTCACTTTTCCCTTTTCTTTCTCCAGTCCTTCCCTGGAGCTGATGCCAGGCTGGTTCTCACACTGTCATTTTATTCAACATGCTTTTGTAGTAAGGTTGACGAGATTCTGTAGGAACTTAACTCTTGTTTATGTCAATTAGCCTATGGTAAAAAACTGTTTTTGTTATATATTGTTTTACTTAAAGTCACTGACTGGTTGACAACATTAAGTGAGGACTTACTGTGCGGTCCGAGGAAAGACTACTCTGCGTTGCCTGTGGACTCACCGCACATCTGATCATAAACTGGCCGCCCTTTCTGTCCCGACTAGGGGACTTCCTGAACCGCATGTTCACCGAGGAGACTGCCCCCCAGGACTCTGAGATGGAGAACTGTAGTGACTATGAGTCTATAGAGGTTCCGGATGATTACACAGGGCCTCACCTCTCCTTCCCGCTCCTTCCCGATCACGCAACTGCCTTGGTGGAAGCCTTCAGACTGAAACAGGTAAGCTCACCTGGGAACCTGAGTCACGTCCCACCCCATGTCATGAGCAAATAGAAAGCAGACCAGCGCAGAAGGAATGGCCCCAGTTTTAGGGTGTTTGTGTCATGGGACCACTAGGGAAATTCTCCTCCCCCTTTGCTTAGCCAGACCCTGTGATCACTCACCAGTTCCTGTGCACTGAACTCCTAATCACGTGGTCTCCCTTTGTTCATTCATCCCACAGATAATTGCTGAGCTCTACTACCTGCTGGCAATGGGGATACAGCAGTGAGCAAGACAGGCACAGAGCCCTGCCTTCATGGGGCTGGCATTCTAGGGGGGAGACAGACAGATCATAAATAACGATAACTAAGTAAATTTTGTTCTCATTCTCTCCATGCAGAACAAACCTCTGCAAATAGCCAGACCCTCCCTTGTTAGAATAGTTTATTTATTAATACTTGACCAGGCTCCAAGTAAATTATGTGTATTATAGAAAGTGGTAAAAGCTACGCAAAAGAATAAACTAAGTTCTAGGTGGGAGAGATGACAATTTTATAGAGTGGTCTGGGAAGGCATCAGGAAAAGGTAATTTCTGAGCAAAGGCCGAAGGTGGTGAGGGAGTGTGTCCTGTGGACCTCTGCAGAAAAGCATTCCAGGCACAGGGAGCAAGTGGGGAGGCCCTGAGGCAGGACCTGCCTGGACTGCTCGGGGACCTTGGGAAGGCCACTGTGGCTAGAGAGGAGGGAGCCAGGGAAAGAGTATTAGAAGATGGAGGCCAAGAGGAAAGGGGACGAACTTTTACTCTTCTGAAAGAGATGGGGAGGCACTGAGACCAGGAATGCTACCATCTGGCTTGCTTTTTAAAGTAATCATTCCGTTTGCTTAACAGAGTATAGGGAGCAAGGGCTGAAGCAGGGAGAATAGCCAAGAGGCTACTGCGATAGTGCAGGAGGAAGATGATAGTGGCTTCAAACACTGATGGTAGAGGTAGAAGGGGAGGGAAATGGTCAGATTCTGGCTCCTGGCCAGATTCCAATCCATCCCGTCTTTCATATGAATTAATTCATTGCAGAAGGAGTTAGGGCAGTTTTCCCAGTAATGCCAGGGTCACGCAGTACAAGCAGCATGCATATGCTTACTCATGCTTTGCTGAGACAACATAGAACCTTGCACAGAGCAGAGTGAGGAAAGTGGTTCGGTATTTGGGTGACAGTGGAAAACAGAAACACGGGTAGAGGATGGGTGAAAAAGAAAAGATCTGTGCATAGGGTCCTGGGGGCAGTTTACGAGGGCCGCTTTTGGGGCCGTGGGTGATTGGGAAGGCCCACCTTCCTTCAGGAATATCAGTGCTGTTTTCTTCCCTCCCTCCCTCCTCTTCCTCCTAGTAGCAGCTACATGCTCGCTATGTCTTGAATCTTTTGCACGAAACCAGAAAACATCTGGTACAACTGCCAAACATCAACCGGGTCTCGACCTGTTACAGCGAGGAGATCACAGTGTGTGGTAAGAGCCTGTCTGAAATGGTTTTATGTGCCAGACCCAAACAAGAAGTCTCTGCCTGGATGGGGAAGGGGGAAAGGCAGGGCTAGGGAAGACTCAGTGGCCACGTGGGCGGGCCAAGTTCACTCCTTCACACTGACAGCAATTGCAAATTAACTCCACAGTTACTTAAAGGAGAGGTGGTGCAGTGAAGGACCATGGGGCCGCAGGGCACAGCCTCAGCTTTATTTTCCCAAGCACTTTATATTCAATCCCAAACTCATGCTCTCCATTCAGAGCAAAATGCCTGCAAATAGCCAGACCCTCCCTGGTTAGAACAGTTCGTTATTACTTGACCAGGCCCAGCGGCCTAGTGAATTATTCCTGCCATCCACACATATTCTCCCAGGCAGAAATCCTGTTAATGACAGTTTTCTCCATCTCCTTATGCTTTCAGTGATGCTTTAACACCCATTATAGATTGACACCCCCACTTTAATTTAGGGGAGGCAGACTGTGGTACATCAGGTATGTCATAAACTGGTACTTCTGAGACACAAAGAACCTACAGATAGGTCCTGAAATGGTCTTAACTTCTTAAAATTAGTTTCCAATATTTGAAAATTAGAGGATTTCATGTTAAAGTCCAGATTTCCAAATTCTCTTGAAAAATCTTATAAAGCTGGCCCATAAGCGAGTTGCAGCTTCCTGTATTAGGTGGGGCAAAATCTCTCCCATTCTCATCTGGGTTTGCAATTCTATCTCACCTTTGCTTCAGTAAGAATACAGGCTTTTTAATATTTATGACAATCATACAAGAAAAGGTATTGTGCTTTCTGCTTTCAATATTAACTATCCCTGCAACAAGGGAAATGAATATTTATCTTTATCTTATGGATGAAAAAATGAATAACCATAAGTTTCTTAATCTTATCCATTTTTTTCTGGGCATTTTCTTTTTTATAGTAAAAAATAAGAAACGATGGTAAGAATCAAGCAAAACTGATATTCTTTTTTTACTTGTGTTAGGAGATTTACATGGCCAGTTGGACGACTTAATATTTATATTTTATAAGGTATGAATGTTCAACTTAATTCCTGTCTTGCTCTGAGGTTTAATTTAGAAGTTTGAATGCACTGTCTATTAAGCAAATTATTAAGTATTGCTTTGATTTATAAATATTAAATATATGCAGTGTATTTATACATACATAAAATATTAGACCACATAGTAACAAATATATAATATAAAAGCCAGCACTGCATTGCATTCAAGTACATATTTGTACACTGTTTAAAAAAGTCTTAAGTACAAACTCTGAGGTTAATAAAGAGAAGGAATCATCATTCAGCAATTGATTTTCTTTTGTAAATAAAGAAAATTATTTAATATCAAAGCAATCAAAAGCTATTTTCATAGTCACTTTGAGTTATAAAATGTAGAGCATATAACAACATATATGAATAGTCTATTAATGTAATAAAACTATCTATATATACTACATTTCCCAAAGCATTTTGCTGTGTATTGTCTTGTTTAGTCCTGAGGAATCTATGGCACTTGTTATTGTTCATTAAAGATAGTGCAGCCAGAACTTAAAACTGGCCCTTGGATCACAAGTTCAGTGCCCAGTGCACACACCACATGACAACACTCTGGTTTTATATGAAGTATTTATTCTGGCAAGCATGTCATAACCTCAGCCTGGCTGGAAAGGAAATATAAAACCAACAGAAATTATTTCCATCTTTTACTGACCTTTCACATTTGGAGGAAAGCCAGAAGACTCAGAACTGGTGTTAGATCTGATTTAAGTCAGATACACAGCGGCTTAACCTGACTTCCTACTCCCATCTTTCTCTGCCTCTTCTTGGACTTATCTGCGTGTTGAGAAGAATGGCCTCCCATCACCAGAGCGAGCCTACGTGTTCAATGGTGACTTTGTGGATCGAGGACAGGATTCGGTAGAAATCCTGATGGTTCTTTTTGCCTTCATGTTGGTTTACCCCAAAGGATTCCATCTTAACCGAGGAAACCACGAGGACTACCTGGTGAATCTACGGTACAGATCGGAGCATGCTTGGGTGTTTGATGTTTACTTGTTGCGACTGTAAAAAGTTACTCTGTCAGAGCTTATTTGTTAGATGCTTTTTAAAAGTAGTTTTTCAATTTTATAAAGTAAAATACATGACATATGACATTTTTAAAGATTTAAAAAAAATTTACACATTATCCTATTCTAATAAAACCGTTCATTTTTTTATATCTACATACTCTTTATCATATAAACAATAAAGATTAACTATAGAAAAAGTAAGAAATATGGATAAGCAAAAGGAAGAAAATTAAATATATGATAATTTGTCTACCCAGAGAAAATGTTACCATTGTAAATATATTGGCAATTAGTCTCTTTTCTATATAGTTAAGTACAAGTATATAGAATACATATTTTATAAAAATGTAGTTGTGCCATAACTATTGTCACTAAATTCAATCTCTATTTTTCCTTTTAAACCTAGATATGGCTTCACCAAGGAAGTAATGCACAAATACAAGGTGCGCTGCCTCTAAAAGCGAAAGTTTCTCTGAGCTCGGAAAAGTGGAGTGAATTATTTGAAGCTTAGTATCTTGTTCATATCATTTTTTAGGTGCATGGCAAGAAAATACTAAAAATGCTGCAAGATGTTTTCTGTTGGCTCCCCCTGGCCACTGTGGTTGATGAGAAAGTCCTGATTCTTCACGGTGGGGTGTCCGACGTGACTGACCTGGAGCTCCTGTCTAAGCTAGACAGGCACAAGGTACTGGGTGGGTGATAACATTGTGCAAGTTTTACCAAAATGCCCAGTTTCACTGTCAACATAAATGTCGCTTTCTGGTATCACAGCCCTTATGTCTATTTGCAGAAGGTCCCTGTCCTTTGACTCTGCGCTGGCACAGAGATCCCATTGGGAGCCAGACCTCTGTGAACTCTTGGGCAGAGGGGGAAGAGGGGGGGCCTGCAACATTTTCAATAGCTCCCTCCAAAGCTCCTCATAAAACCCCCTTTCAACATCTCCACAAATTCAACGCTATCACATGCTTGACAGATAGGAGGGCTCCAGGTGGTATGGAACCAGCTCTTCATATTTCCTTTGCCTATTCTGCAGGTTGTGTGGCTCTTCATTTTTTTTTTTTTTTTCAATTCAGACATTTCTAGTCAGCTGCATTGAGGGAGAGACAGTGAGTCACAATAGAGCAGATTACCTCATGGGAAGAATCACATTTCACTATGTAAACATAGGAAAAGCGGGGACTTTGGGAAACAATACTAGAGGACAATGTATTTTCTGTAGTTTAGCAAAAAGCCAATTTCCCAACAGCTGGTTGGCAAAGCTCTGGGGCGGGGGGATGTAGTGACCTGTGCAGAGTCCAGGACTGCATGGGGGGGAAGCACAGAGAAAATTGGGCTCTAGGGTCAGTTATCTGCACTCAGTCCTGGCATCTCTGTGCCTCAGCCTTTCTCCCTCTACTATGAATAAGGATGCTATCTCATAGGGTGTGAAGGCGAACCAATTAGTATATGTAAAACTGTAAATGAGGATACTATTTAATAGCGGTGGCCTCAGGGTTCATCAATTAATTCATGTGAAGTGCCCCAAACAGCCCCTATTTGGAAAGGGCTTTCTGTATATTAACAGTGACATTCTCCCTAAGAATCAAAGCTAGGGATGCCTGTTGGAGCAGATAATAGCACGCTTAAAATGGAGTTACCTGAGGGTTGAAGGGCTGGGACTGACGGTCTGGCCCTCCATGTGAATCGGCAACGAGAAGAGCAAGAGGTGGTTATGAGTCTGTTCGAGTTTTGTGGCCTTTCACTCTCTGGGCCCAGGGCTGGAACTGCCCAGGAAACAATTAGCGCTTGTCCAATGTTAGAGAAAAGCCTCTGTTCTACTCTCTTTGATCTGCATTCCTCTTCAAACATCATTGAGGGTCTGCTGGCCCTCTCTGAGTGTCCTTTTTTCTTGCCCTAAGCCAGTCCACACTGGGACATGACTTTCTGGTATCACAGCCCTTGGGTCTATTTGCAGAAGGTTCCTGTTCTTTGATGATGCGCTTGCACAGAGATCCCGTGGTGAACCAGACCTTTGTCATTGATATCCTCAAGGAAGTCCTGTCCCTCAGTTTTCACTGTGGCAGTCAGGCCTGCCACGAATGGCTGCTCGATGCCACAGCTCTGCTCTGTGGCCTGACCCCTCTCTTTCCTGTGATCAGAATTCTTTCTGCATGTGTCCTGTACATTCTCATCCTGGTCATAGCACCGTGATGACTCTGAGTCAGGGAAAGGGATTGTACTCAGTCCTTGTTCCCACTTAGGCTGAAAAGAGGTGATCCCTTCCCCTCCCCGTCCTTCGTCAACAGGTGCGATTATAGGTAAGACAGGACAATCTGCAAAGGCAATCCCACAGCAAGCGTCAGGTTTCTCCTCTCCCACCAGTTCTCAGCCATAAGTGGCATTTTCTCCTCTGCTTTCAGCATCTGAGAAACAGCAGAAAAGTTGACAAGCGCTCACCTTCCTGACAGAGGGGTGCCCTTTCTCTTCCTAGTCTTAAAGTCACGAGGCTCCCAGAGAGAAATCACCACACAGGTTAGCATTTATCGAATTATCTGTGGTGAAGGACCAGGTTTTATAAAGTTCCTACTTGTCAAAGAGTAATACTTTTATAAAATACAACATACATAATTCACATATATATGAATTACCAGAAAAATGAAATTCAAACAACAAGTATGAATCCACTGGTCATGTGCTTGGATTTCATAGCCAGATCAAATGGCTGTAAGAATTTCTGAAGGCTCGCTCTCAAGTTCTGTGACTGTCTAGTCCCGAGCCAGAACAACCGCTCAGCACCAGCGCTGCTCTGTGGACCCCAGTGTGAGGGGCGCAGGCATGACGCCCAAGTGCTACTCAAAGAGGGCCTCTGGCTTCACTCACCATCTGTGTGTTTTCTGGGCGTTTGTAGATTGTTTCCACCTTGAGGTGCAAAACAAGAAAAGAGAACGAGAAGCAGGTGGAGGAGCAGGAAAAAGCAAAGCAGAGGAGCTCTGCAGGGAGACCTTCCCCGTGGTTTCTCCCCCAGAGCCGCTCTCTCCCCTCTTCGCCCCTTCGCCTCAGCTCCCACCAGGCCCACAAAGCTGGACGCTCCTCCAGCGTCCCCTGCAGTGGCCCCCTGGACCCCAGATGGCTCTCCTGGCAGGCGAGGCGCTCCGTGGACCTGGAGCTGGAGAGGTGCCGGCAGCAAGCCGGCTTCCCGGTGATCAAGGAGAAGGAGGAGCCCTGGCTCTGCAGGGCAGAAGCCGACTCTGAAGCAGGGGAGCTGCTGGAGCCCACGCAGGAGGAGTGGCGGCAGGTGGGTGTGGCCAGGTGCTGCTCCCGTAGAATTTGGCTGCGGTCATAAGGGACCAAGGATTAAAAAAAAAAAACACAAAAAAAACAAAAAACAGATCAAATCTTTTTCTGTGTACATTCAAGATATTTTTTTGCCCCTCTTTCTCTATCCCTAGAATTATAACATCCTCAAAAGATGTTAGTATTTGCCTAATGACTCATATATTTTAGAATTTTAGCAACGATGGGAAGATAATGCAGGTAGGCTCTATTGCCCAAGAAAGCTTGGTTTAGTGACCTGGCATCACTGGGGTAAAAGATAAGCCACGATTTTTTGGATGCTATTATATGGGTTTTTTGTTCATTTGTTTTTTAACGTGTCAGAAAGGTGGCTGCTGCAACTCAAAGGCGAAAGCGCTGTGTCAGTAGCTTCTGTCCTGTGTTTCTGGCAATTAAAGGCTTTTCCAAAATCTCCAGAACTGTGTCACATGGCTACTCCTAGCTGCAAGGAAGACTGGAAAATCAAGTACTTAGCTTGACATGTTGCCACCCAGACACCCAGAGTTTCGTTGGCATGGAAAACAAATAGATACTGAGGAGGTAGTCAAGGTGCCTGCCCAAACAGAGGCACACCTCGTTTTGTTGCACTGTACTTTATTGTGTCCCACGGATGTTGCTTTTTTTTTTTTACCAGTTAAAGACAAAACCTTTCATCAGCAAAAAGATTACAACTCACTTCATTTTGGTGGTCTAGAACCAACATGCAATGTCTCCAAGGTAGATCTGCAAGTGACTCTGGCAGCCAAATGAAGGCACATTTCACTAGGGCAAGACTGTGGCAGGAAGACTGCTTAAAAAACTGTTACTGTAATCCAGCCCTGGATGGTGTGCGTCAGTGGATTGAGTGCTGGCCTACAAATGAACAGGTTGCTGGTTCGATTCCCAGTCAGGGCACATGTCTGGGTTGAGGGCTGATCCCTAGTTGGAAGTGTGCAAGAGGCAACCTATTGATGTATCTCTCACACGTGGATGTTTCACTCCTTCCCTTCCTTCTGTTGTCTCTAAAAATAAATTAAAAAAAATTAAAAAAAAATCCTGCTATTGTAGTCCAAAGGGGATGAAGATGGTGGTCTTGTGTAGTAGTGTTAAAGGAATTATGTGAACATGCTAGTACTCAGTCATTTTGACCTACAAAAATGTCAATTTTCAGTGGTTCATCCAATAACAAAAAGGAAAGAATTCAGAATTATTTAGGGGCTAACATTACTAGAACTTGCTGAGTGATTGGATGGAGAGTGTTGAGAAAGAGGTGGAGTTGCAGCTAACTCCTCAGAGAAAGAGATGGTGAGTTTAAGTTATATTCTCCCTAAGTTATTAAGATGGCCTTCAATATCAGCTCAGAGCCAACTTTTTAAAATGCAAGTCTCTTGTTTTGCAAAACATGACTTAATAATAAGTACTAATATTTACACATCAAATGTATTTTCCCCTTTAAAGTACATTTAAGAAAGTATTAGGTGTCATCAACCAAAATGCACCCAATTATTTCGTATGAGTTGGGTAAGACTGGCAGTCAGTGTTTTCCTGAGCAATAACAACAGACTAGATAAGAATCTGAATTGCTCAAAAAATTGCTCAGCTCCTCTGCAAATTCCCTTAAAAATTCTGAAATTACTTTAAGAAATAAAATGTCCTATTGCACTTGCCCAGGACCACATCTGGGCCCTGTGAATGCTGCATGAGAGATGCCCTTGTCGGTCCCAGGACGCCTGCCTTCTCTCTGGTGCAAATGTCCAGGACCCTGGAGTACTGGCCAATACCAAAGCTTCTGTCAGAGCAGCTCCTGTTTTAAACTATGCACTGAGCTTCCAAATAAGATTTATTTTCAAGAAAGTGGATATATGTTGTCAAACAATATGTACATACATGTGCTCATTTTGTGAGTAATAAAAAATTTGGGAACCACAGAGGCCCAAAAACTATATGCCAGATATTGATTGCATGAAAATATATTCACTTATTTCTAGTCAAATATGTTTTTCTTCTCCTCCTGCTCCTCCTGCTCTTCCTCTTCTTCTTCTTCCCCCTTTCACAGGAATGATTCTTGATGCATATGGGTCTAGTTTTTAGGAAAGACACCATGTCTTATTCTCTCCAGGTCGTAGATATACTGTGGAGTGATCCCATGGCTCAGGAGGGCTGCAAGGCCAACACTGTTCGAGGAGGAGGCTGTTATTTTGGGCCGAATGTGACAAAACAGTTGCTGCAGAAATACAATCTGCAATTCCTGATCCGCTCACATGAGTGCAAACCCGAAGGCTATGAATTCTGCCATGGCCGCAAGGTGGGTGGACCCTGTGCAGTATCACAAGAGTATTCCCCATTGCTCCCCCTGGCCTGGATGGGTGAAGGCTTTTTACAGTCAGCTGTGCCTTGTATTTGTTATCTACTTACTCAAAGTAACTAGGTCCTCTACAGTCATTTATCCTTGAACTTACTAGCCTTTTTTATTTTCTAGTTACTGTTTATTCTATTACAGTTGTTCCAATTCCTCCCCCCTTTGCCCACCTATTTCCCCACAGTCAATCCCCACACCATTGTCCATGTCCATGGGTCATTCATACACATTCTTTGACTGATCCCTCCCCCTTTTTTCCACCACTATCCCCCTTTCACTCCCCTCTGGCAGTTGTGAGTCTATTCCATGTTTTCATGTCTTTGGTTCTAGTTTACTTGTTAGTTTATTTTGTTCATTAAATTCTTCTTACAAGTGAGAGGTATATGGTCTTTGTCTTTCACTGACTGGCTTATTTCACTTAGCAAAATACTCTCCAGTTCCAACCACGCTGTTGCAAAAAGTAGGGGCTTCTTTCTTTCTGCTGTGTAGTATTCCATTGTGTAAATGTACCACAGTTTTTTAATCCACTCATCTACTGATGGGCACTTGGGCTGTTTCCAGCACTTGGCTATTGTAAATATAGCACTGCTATGAACATAGGGGTGCATAAGTTCTTTTGAAGTGGTATTTTGGGATTCTTAGGATATGTCTCCAGCAGTGGAATTGCTAGCCTCTTTAAAACTCACAATTTAGTTGAGGTCACAGCTCACCAATACTCTAAGAGGAGAGTAAGGGAAAGTATGCCCCAATTTCATGGATGGACATGTGGTCTGGTGTTTTCCCAGTCATATCTCTATTGTTTAGGTGACATTGCTCACTGTCACACATCTTAAAAAACACTCTAGGGTAACAGGATTTCAGCACTGTGCCCCAGACGAGGATTCTGGATAGTTTGTCTCCTCAGGAGCTTAATTAATGTCCTGACTAATCTTTGCACATCTCTAAATCCTACAATGCTTGCTGAGCCTAATGCCACTAAAGTAAGCATATTCCCAGGAATACTAACTCTACAGGAAAATAACAGGCTTCTGTGCAAAAAAAAAAGTTTGAGATCCAGTAGTGTAAGAAATGTTTGGTTAAATGCTTTTATAAATTTCTTTATTGTAGGACTTCGGAGAACATTTAATTTCCCATATTCATAGTGAATCTCCAAGAAAAGATTCAGTGACTAGCATTTCCCAATGTATTGACAATGGGAACTTTTTTCACCAAGCATCTCATGGGGCACAGTGCTGTAGGAACCTGCTTTGAGGCCTCACACCAACTAATACCTGATCTGCCTGCTGGTTGTAATGGCCATCCCTGTTTGTTGGGACCTGGTTTGCCTCTGAGTTGAATCAGTGAATTTTTTTTAATGACCTCTGCTATTTTCACTTGGGACAAAAATGTGAAGAAAATATGTTGTGGATGTTCTATCAGAAATCAAGTTTTCATTACTTGACTCACAACTCCTGCCTTACTAGCTTTAATGATTAAAAAAAAAAAAAAGACCCGTAGGCAAGGTCAAGGAGAAATGGCAACCCCTGAAATGGGTTGGGCCCTCTAGGACTGAGGGCAACGAGTTCTTCCGTGAACCCTAATGTCTGTCTCACTCCTCTCTTGTTTTAGGTGCTAACCATCTTTTCTGCCTCCAACTACTATGAAGTTGGCAGTAACAGAGGGGCCTACGTCAAGCTGGGGCCAGCCCTGAGCCCACACATCGTGCAGTATCAAGCCAACAGGGCTACCCACAGGCTGACCATGAGGCAAAGGCGAGACTTTCCAGTGAATGATTTTCAGAAGAACAGAATTATAGTGTGTAGAGACTCTCCGAAGTGTTAAATGTTCTTATACTTAGATAAATTCTAAGTGAAAATTCAGAGTTTAGCTCTGTCAGCAGTAAGGTCGACCTATAACAGACATTTCAGACAGGGGTCTCTTCCTTCTCATACACTCTAAAATCTCTGCCTGCCCCTCATTAATGGAAAGAGAGAATGTGCTTCCTGGAAATTTGCTTTTATTAAAATTATTCCCAGTGGGTACATCTTGAGTGAAGTCCATAGACCAGGCCACCAACTTTTCCAGGGCCACTCTTCTGTTCTCTCTCATCCTTGAAGAGTTTGTGCTACCCCATGGACCCTGATAAAGGTTCTTTCACTGTCTGGATGTGGTGAATGGGTTTCAGAGTACACACTTGTTAATGATGGCCCTCCCTCCTGGGAAGATGATATATATTACTTAAATGGCTTCTGTTGCAATGATTCTGGATTTTAATCTTTGTTGGAAGATACCACACATTAAATGTTATTATAAAGAATTTATGTCTCATAATGAACTTATGAAATACATCATGTTAATAACATTCAGTTTTATAGATGAGGTCATTAAGGAACAGAGGTGAAATCAGCTGGCCCATGGGCACACGGTTAATAAGCAGTGAAAGTTGTCCTTGACCCAAGCAGTTGTATTTTAGAACTCACACACCAACAGCCATGCAACACTGCCTCCCATCAAGATGTCCCCAGAGTATAAAGCTACTAACAGATACTGTTTTGGGGGGACCAAAGAAGGGGCAGGTACCATTGTTATCCCTATTTTACAGATGGGCAAACAGAGGTAGAGCACAGTTACATAACTTTTCCATAAGGGTGGCCTCTCTCCAGAACGTCCACTCTAACCACTATTCTATACTGGGAAGGACATTATTCTGCAGACTGGTCCTGTTTGTGCACAGTCGGGAAACATCGGGGAACAGTGGGGAGAAATAGGAGGTAGAGCTTTTCCCTCAAAAACTGAGCCCTTGGTGGTTTGAAACATTAAGAGAGGGGTGAAATGTGGTAAAAACCTAGGACTTTTTCTTCTATGGTAATTTTTTCAAATGTTCCTTTTTTTTTCTCTTCTGTCCCAGGATTAGCCGAGTAGAGGAGTCAGCTCTAAGAGCTCTGCGAAACAAGTTATTTGCCCATTCCTCAGATCTTCTTGATGAATTTAAGAAGCACGATAAAGATAAAACTGGTACGACTAACCAAGTAAAATATTCATAAGGGAAGCTGGACAAAAAAATATTTGTTTGGCAGTAGTTAGCAAATAAATATTTGTTGAGTGAACAGATGGCCAAAAGACCTCTTTGACAACTTCCTCCATTTTATTCAACTTAGTGTCCCAGTTACCTTTTCTAAATTTTAAAATTCCATGCTCTTAGCAGAATGTGAACTTGACTGAATATATGTGGAGACGGTGAAAAGAAATGGAATCAAGGGAAGGGCAATGAGGCCGGAACTAAGCAAAAGTAACAGGTGGCCCTGGCCAGGTGTCTCAGTTGGTTGGCGTGTCATCCCATACACCGAAAAGTTCACAAGTTTAGTTCCTGGACAGGGCAAATAGCTAGGTTGGGGTTCGATCCCATCAGGGCACATAAAGGAAGCAACCAGTAGATGTATATCTCACACTGATGTGTGTGTGTCTCTCTCTCCCCCTTTCTCTCTAAAATCAATAAAAACATATCCTTGGGTGAGGATTTAAAAAAAACAAAAACAAAACCAACAGGTGGAACAGGTTACAAGAGTGTATCCGAGAAAAATGTCAATAATTTGGCTTCTTGTTGTTGTTAAGTATGTATTTTGTTGGCTAAAAAAATCTGTTTAGTTTTTTCATAAAATGCAAGACACATTTTTCATTTTCACCAATAATGTTATTGATTTGGATATTTTGAGTGTGTTGGCCATCTCCTATGCGGTAGGACATCAATTGTTCTCAATTAATGTTTCAATATGATCATTACCAACTTAAACTGGACCCATCTGGGTAACATCATCCAGTGAGAAATCTTCAGCATGAAACTTTGCAAACCACTTCTGACACATTTGATCAGTCATAGCACCTTCTCTATACACTGCACAAATCTTCTTTTGCATTTCAGTTGCATTTTTAACATTTCTTGAAATAATAAAACATAATATCCCTAAAATGCTGCTTATTTTCTTCCGTCTTCAATATAAATGGCTACACAAAAATTCACCAAAAAATTGGTGTTTTTTTAAAAAATGCATGCTGATATGGCAATTGTCACAATGCAGTGTAACAAAGTTGTTTTGAATGAAGTTAAAGACAACTAAGCATTACTAGAGCCATCATATTAAAAAAAAACCTTTTTAGCCAATCCCGTATTTATCTGTTCCATGTTCTATTAATCAAGCTAGAATTTTTGTCTTTTCTCAGCTCAATAGAATGTGTAATTAACATTAGCTGCATGAACCCATATGATAAGATAGCAATAGCCATCATATAGTCATAGCAGTACCTTTTCCTGTACAAACAACTGATGCTGTCTATGTATAATGATTTATACTGTTATTTGTAAGTCTTGTGTGGCTTCCAGTAGTATTGCCATATTTAGCAAATAAAAAGGGGATGACTAATTAGAGTTGAATTATAGACAGATAACAAATAATTTTTAAATGTAAGTATGTCCGATGCAATATTTGGGATGTACTTATACCTCATGGTCTGTCTGAAATTCAGATTTAACTGAACATTCTGTATTTTATCTGGAAACTCTACTTCCCAACTGCATTTAATCTTCCATGCCCGACAAAAATAGTGACAGTGCCCATTATTTCTATTACCTCCAGATAGTGAGAAGAATGTCAGGATAGAAGGTATGCAGTGTTGGACAGGAAACTGGACTCGTAGGTGACAAGTCAGCAAGTTTGCTCCTTCCTGTAGGTTTAATCCCCCTGGGCGAGTGGGCAGCAGCCGTGGAGTCGGTGCTGCGCCTGGGGCTGCCATGGCGGGTGCTGAGGCCACAGCTGGTGAACAGCTCAGCAGGTAACATGCTGGAGTACAAGTCCTGGCTGGAAGACTTGGCCAAAGAACAACCAAGTTTCAAGGTAATGGTGAGAAAATGATGGACGAGGGCATATCATGGACCACGAAGCCTCTTACCGGGAACTTTGAATCTGAAACAACCAAATAATGAGAACCCAAAAAGGAAGATGAATGAGAAAAGGGAACAACTATTTGTTGAGTTTCCATGTGTCAGACTTGACGTTAAGGGCTTTATGTGGGTTGATTCAGTTTATCCTTAAAATCACCCCTAGAGATAGTATTATCAGCCCCGTTGTACCCATGAGGACACTGATCACAGAGGCTAAGTCACCTGTCTCAGGCCACAGAGTTTCTAAGTTGTAGAACTGAGACTCAAAGCCAGGTCTGACTTCCATGGCTTCATGCTGCTTTCTCCATTAAAAAAATATTTATTCAATAAATACTTATTGAATGTGTAATGTACGTGAAGCCTTGGGAGAGGTATTTTTTAAAATAGCTTTATTGCAATATAATTCACATTCTATACAATAGTTCCATTTGAAGTGTACAGTTCAATGATTTTAAGTATATTTGCAGATATGTGCAGCCATCACCATGGTCAGTTTTAGAACATTTTTATCATGGTCTACATACACTTTAACCATCAGATTATTTGGCAAGCTGAAGGGGATCAAGGATGAAGAGATGGTAACATATCTCCAGGTTTTTCAAGAGTGTTTTATTGTCAAGATTGATTGTGTGTTGATCATATATTAGGACAAGCTAAAGAAGGTATAGAAGGAAAATGAGTTTTTTCTTGCAGAACATCCAGTCAAGTTTGCTGGAAACACTGTATCGAAACCGATCCAACCTGGAGACCATTTTTAGGATCATAGACAGCGATCACTCAGGTAAAAGCACCCATTATGCTATCATCACTCCTCACACATAGCAAGTATTTTGCCTCCCACCCTCTGGCCTCCTCCCTCATTATTTAGCTCTGCTCAAGCATTGGGGAGCCAAGTCAGGAATGACAATGGTTATAAACGGCAGAAACTAGAAAAGTACTTCAGCAATGCCAGCAGTTTATGCAGAAGAGGGTTTCGGCAGAAAAGAGTGAAGACCAACTGAATAAGGACTTCTTTTAGCAAGAATGATTATTAATAGCTGTGATAGCCCTTACAGTTCTAACAAACATAGCCACAAAGTGATGGAGAGCACCTGGAACAGAGAGGCCTTTGCGATCTCACTCCCAAAGTAGTTTTAAAAACCTTGTCACTTTGAAATATTTATACATCCGCAGGAAGTTACCAAATAAACATACAGGGAGGTCCCTTATGCCATTGCCCTTTTTCTCCAAAGGTCCAAAGGCCCTCTTCAATGTTATTTCTCCTGTATTTTTTTAAAGGCATAATTCACATATCATATAATTTACCCATTTAAAATGTCCAGGTCAGCCACTCCTGGCTGGTGTGGCTCAGTGGACTGAGTGCCAGCCTGAGAACCAGAGAGTCGCCAGCTCAATTCCCAGTCAGGGCACATGCCTGGGTTGTGGGCCAGGTACCCAGTAGGGGGCACATGAGAGGCAACCACACATTGATGTTTCTCTCCCTCTGTTTTTCCTTCCCTTCCTCTCTCTGAAAGTAAATAAATAAAATCTTTATTTAAAAAATGTTCAGGTCAGTGGTGTTTTAGTATATTCACAAGTATGTGTGACTATCACCACTATCTAATTTTAGAACATTTTCATCACCTAAAAAGAAACTCGCACCTAGTGGCAGTCATGCCCACTCCCTGTTCCTTCTCCACCAGGCCCTGGCCACAAGTAATCTGCTTTCCACTCCTATGGGTTGCCTATTCTGAACATTTTATTATATAAATGGATCCATATGATATATGGCCTTTGGTACCTGGCTTCTTTCTTTCACTTATCATAATATTTTCAAGGGTCATCCATGTTTTAATATGTGTCAGTTCTTTAGTACTTGTACAGTGGATAATAGTCTATTGTATGGATATACCACATTTTGTTTATCCATTCATTAGTTGAAGACACTTGAGTTGTTTCCACTATAGCTATTATGAATGATGCTGCTATGAACATTTTGTGTTCAACTTTTTGCGTGAACATGTTTCCATTTCTCTTAGGATATATTCCTAGGCATAGAGTTGCTGGATCATTGAATAGTCTTGGAACAGCTGTAAAAAATCAACTGACCATGGGCCAAAGGCTTTTTTAAAAATATAAATCGCTATTTTTTAAGATTTTTAAAAAATATTTTATTTATTTATTTTTAGAGAGGGAAGGGAGGGAGAAAGAGAGAGAGAAACATCAATGTGTGGTTGCTGGGGCCATGGCCTGCAACCCAGGCATGTGCCCTGACTGGGAATCAAACCTGTGATGCTTTGGTTCGCAGCCCACACTCAATCCACTGAGCTACGCCAGCCAGGGTGGCCAAAGGCTTTTATAAGCAGAATAAATTAATATATATTTGGGATGATTTAATGCAGAGTTTCTCAGCAGTGGTGCTATTGACATTTTTGTCTGAATAATTCTTTGTTTTGGGGTGTATCCTATGTATTCTAGGATGCTTAGTAGCATCCTTAGCCTTTACCTACTAGATGCCAGTAACACCCCCCTCACCCCAGTCATGGCAATCAAAAATGTCTCTAGACATTGCCAAATGTCTCTAGAGGGAGGAGAGCAAAACTGCTCCAGTTGAGAACCACTTGTTGATTTAGTAGTTTGTGCTATTTCCCTAAGGTTTAAATTTAGATACTAGGCTTTGGTTGTCTTTGTCTGTTTAACAGTAGGGAGCAGGTGTTCTTGTAAGAATGTGAGAGGAAATGGCCATTGAAACATACACTGACTAACTGAAGCAACTTGCCCTATCCCATAAGGTTTCATCTCACTGGACGAGTTCAGGCAGACTTGGAAACTGTTCAGCTCTCATATGAAGATTGACATCACCGATGGCTGTGTCTGCGACCTTGCCCGGAGCATTGACTTCAACAAGGATGGCCGCATTGACATCAATGAGTTCCTGGAGGCCTTCCGCCTTGTAGAGCAGTCCTGCTCAGAGGGCAGTGACTCAGACCGCCCGCAGGCCCCAAACACTAATGACAGCGGCGCCAGCCAGCCAGCAGCACACTGAAGAGTTTGGTTTCTGTTACCCACATTGCCTCATAAGCAATGCCAAGCGTGTCACTGCAATAGCTCTCTTATTCTCCATAGATTTATGAAGCTTTATGCTGAGAATTTGCTGACCAACATGCATCACAATCCCCTGTGTGTTTGTGGGTGCCCTGTGTGTGTGTGTGTGTGTGTGTGTGTGTGGTGTATTTTTAAATATACAGGCACAAACCCATCTCAGAATTTTCACAAGGTGGGACCCAGGTATAAGTATTTTTAATTCTGAAGTCTACCCCATTATGAATCACTGATCATTCAACCCCCTCATTGTTTCCATTTTATACTTTTTATTTGTTGTTTTTAAAATGCCATACTGATAAAGGAAAGCTATGGAAAATCATTTATGAAACCCCATGACCTGAACATATGGATTCTCTTTATTATTTACTTTTTCTTACTATTACTATAATATCGTATAATTTAATTGTTCTGCTTTTTAAAATAAATCCATATCTAATTATAAATACTTATGTTTTACATAGTCTTCAGGATTATTAGTTTAAAGGATGCATAAGTTTTTTCAAATGGATGCTCTATAATCTGTTCAGCGGTTTGTCAATTGTTCAGCATGTATTTTGTTTCCAGTTTTTCTTCATTATAAATAACATGGTGGTTAATAACTTTGTGCATACAGCTTTTTCTATAAAAATCTTTCTCATTTAATTTTTCTACTGTTATTTTTGAATTTTTAAAGATTTTATTTATTTATTTTCTGAAACAGGGGAAGGGAAGGAGAAAGAGAGGGAGAGAAACATTGATGTGTGAGAGAAACAAGAGTTGGCTGCCTCTCACATGCCCCCAACCAAGGATCTGACCTACGATCCTGGCATGTGCCCTGACTGGGACTCAAACTGGTGACATTTTGGTTCACAGGCTGGCACTCGATCCACTGAACCACACCAGCCAGGGAAAATTTTATATATTATATTATATTATATTATATTATATTATATTATATTATATTGATTATGCTATTACAGTTGTCCCATTTTTTTACCCCTTTGCTCCACTCTACCCAGCACCCTCACTCCCTCAGGAAACTCCCACACCATTGTTCATGCCTATGGTTCATGCATAGGTTCTTTGGCTACTACATTTTCTGTACTGAACTTTACATTCCCATGACTATTCTGTAAATATCTCTTTGTAATTCTTAATTTCCTCACCTCTATACCCATTCCCCTATACCTTCCTACCATCTGGCAACCATCGAAATGCTCTCTGTATCCATGATTCTGTCTCTGTTGGTCTTGTTTGCTTAGTTTGTTCTTTAGATTCAATTGTTGATAGATGTGTACTTATTGCCATTTTATTCTTCATAGTTTTGATCTTCTTCTTTTTCTTAAGTAAGTCCCTTTAACATATCATATAATAATGGTTTGGTGATGATGAACTCCTTTAGTTTTTTCTTGTCTGGGAAGCTCTTTATCTGCCCACCAATTCAAAATGATAGCTTTGCTGGGTAGAGCAATCTTGGTTGGAGATCCCTGCTTTTCATGACCTCAAATATTTCTTGCCAATCCCTTATAGCCTGCAAAGTTTCTTTAGAGAAATCAGCCGACAGTCTTGTGGGAGCTCCCCTGTAGCTAAGTGCTTTTCTCTTGCTGCTTTTAAGATTTTCTCTTTATCTTTAACCTTTGGCATTTCAATTATGATATGTCTTGGAGTGGGCCTCTTTGCATCTATCTTATGTGGGACTCTCTGTGCTTCCCGGACTTGCATTTCTATTTCCTTCACCAAATTAGGGGAGTTTTCTTCATTATTTGTTCAAATAGATTTCCAATTTTTGTTCTTTCTCTTTTCCTTCGGGCACCTCTATAATGTGAATGTTGGAACACTTGAAGTTGTCCCAGAGGCTGCTTATGCTGTCCTCATTTGGGGGTTTCTTATTTCTTCTTGTTCTAATTGGTTGTTGTTTTTTTGGTTCTTTATGTTCCAAATCATTGATTTGATTCTCAGCTCCATCCACTCTATTGTTGTTTCCCTATAAGTTGTTCTTTGTTTCAATTAGTGTATCCTTCATTTCTGATTGGATCTTTTTTAGGCTGGTGAGGTTCTCACTAAGTTTCTTGAGCATCCTTATAACCAATGTTTTGAAGTCTGCATCTAATAGATTGCTTATCTCCACTTTGTTTAGTTATTTTTCTGGAATTTTCATCTGTTTTTTCATTTGAGCCACGTTTCTTTGTCTCCTCATTTTGGCAGCCTCCCTGTGTTTGTTTCTGTGTATTAAGTACAGCTGCTATGTCTCCCTGTCTTGGTCATGTGGCCTAATGTAGTAGGTGTCCTGTAGGGTCCAGTGGCACAGCCTCCCCTATCACTCAAGCTAAGTACTTGAGGTGTGCCCTTCATGTGGGCTGAGTACACCCTCTTTTTGTAGTAGAGCCTTGGTTGCTGTTGGCAGGTCACTGGCTGTGACCACTGACCACCAACCTCTGCCCTCTCTGGAAGATCAGTGGCACAGGGGCAGGTTGGTGGTGTTGTGATGTGGCCTCTAGCTGTCTACTGAGTACACTGGCCCTGGAATTTCATGGGTTGTTCAGGCCAAGGTCAGCCCCCACCTGTGTTTTGCTCAGGGCCATCCTGCCTGAGGTATAAAGCAGTCTGAGATGGCTGCTACTTAAGCTGTTCTTGGAGATTCCCAGGTAAAGCCAAGTTGAGAATCTAATCTGGCTGTTACTATTTCCATGCCTAGGGCCACTTAGCAAGAGGTACAGGGTGGAGGATTGAGGACTCACTGAGGCTGGCTGTTGCTTGTTTGAAAGGATTTAGGAAGTTGTGAAACAGCAGCCAAGACCAGCCATTCATATGGAAAAGCCACTGTTAACAGCTGTAAATTGGGTGGGATGGAGGATGGAACAAACAGTGTTAGCCAGGTTGTTGTAGTCTCAGATATGGCACCCATCTGCCTCCTGGCTCTGTGGCTCTGTAGTGGGAGGGTTCAGAAAAGGGACAATGGTCTCTATTCACCTATATGTCTAGGAGAAACCTGTTCCCCAGCTCTTGCTTTGATGCCAGACACTTCAGTTCCCCACTGTATGTTACTTTTGCCTTTCAAGCTGCTACCCCAGTGCTGAAGCTCAGAGGGAATGAATCTAAGTAAGTCCATGTGTGGGTTCTTTAAGAGGAACTGCTTGGGATCCCAGAAATTTCTTCCACCAACTCAATCCCTCATGGTTTTTGCAACCAGAAGTTATGGAGACTTTTCTTCCTGGCACTGGAACCCTGGGCTTGGAGGTCTGGTGTGGGGATGGGGCTCCTCTCTCCCAATATATCCCTCCTGAATTTTTATCCACCACTTGTGGTTGTGGGACGAGCCCATTCCACATCTTCACCTCTCCTACCAGTCTGGATGGATGTGGTTTCTTTAATTCCATAGTTGTCAGACTTCTATTTAACTTGATTTGTGATGGTTCTAAGTGATAGTTATTCTATAATTTAGTTGTAATTTTGAGGTGGTTGTGTGAGGGGGTGAGCATGTTTACCTATGCCACCATCTTGACTGGAAGGCCTCTATTTCTAAAAATCTTTTAAATTATACATTTTCTTAGGATTAAATTCCAGGAGTGGGATTACTTTATAAAAGGGTATTTGTATTAGTCTACAAAAAGACTTACTACATAAAAGTTGGCTTATATAACAATAAGAAATCCCAAGATCTGTAGTCAGCAAGTCAGAGATCTAGCAGAGCTGACAGTGTGGTCCCAGTCCAAGTCCAAACCCAAAGGCAGCAGAAGACAATGTACCAGCTCAAAGCCAGGAAGAGAGAGAATTCTTCCATACCCAGCCTTTTTGTTCTGCTGGGGCCTTCAATGAGTTCTATGAGCCACTCACATTGTACAAGGCAACCACCTGTACTCACTTGACTGATCCAAGCTTTAATCTCATCCAGAAGCGCCCTCACACATGTACCCAGACATAATGTTTAACCAAATATCTGGGCACCCTATAACCAAGTTGACATCTAAAATTGACCACCACAGGTGTGAATGCTTTTTATGGCTGTTTGCTTTTCATAATTGAGCAGAATTGAGTGCACTAGTTTTGGGATTTTTGACATAAATAAGTATTTGTGTGTGTGTTTAAAGTTAAACTGTTATTGCTGCTGCTGGTTATAGAACTCATGTGCAGGTATAATTAGGGTTTCATGAATTTCTAAGAATCATTGCTTAAAATTTGAATGTTAATTTCTGTAGAACTCAAAACTTTTTTTATCAGTATTTTAATGATTAAAAGAAAGGCATAAAGTTCTTAATCTCCAGATTAGTGTCTTGAAGTATTTCTCAAAGAGTCGTAAGATATATAAGGAACTTTAGATATTAAGTGCAGCCTCAAAACCACATCCCTTGCAGGTGTCAGCTGGAATGCTCCAGGGAGAACATCACTACTGCTAGAGACATTCTAGTTCCAATTTAGGAGAAACACATGTTTTAGAAAGTTCCCCCTTTTATCAAGCATCAACCTGGTATGAAAATCTGGAGTCAGAGATATGGATTTCAGTGCAGGCTATGGGAACTGTGAGGTCATTTGAGCTGTGTCAGCCACACTGAGCTCCCTACACCCTGCCCTTCAGCAGGCAGGGAGAAGCCTCCACTACCTACACAGGTGTGTGGAGATTCTGGGAGCTAATTAACACAAACACAAAGAATTGTCTTGACATACCGTATTTTACTATGTATAATGTGCACCAGTGTTTCTGTGTGCATTATATATGGGCTAATTATACCATGGTATGTAATCATTATACCCATGTGTAATGCACATCCTTATTTTTCCCTCAAAAATTTGAGCAGAAAGCGTGCATTATACATGGCAAAATATGGTAACTCTCAGTCTTAAACTATACAGAGCTGAATTTCTATATTACTCATTGATCATAAACTATTTTTACTCAGATGAAGATAGTTCTAGGCATGCATTTTTGTAAACACATTAGATTCATTATTATATTTAATTGAATTTTAATTTAAGATGCTTCATATCTACTCCTTGAGTTTTTTCTTTTTTAATTAAATCTGTTTTTCTGATATCTTATGGCAAATAACATTGATTTTTCAATTACAATATTGAGATCATGTTTTCTTTTAAAAGAAAAGTGCCCAGTGATGTGAGTGTGTGACTGATGTGAGTGTGGCTCAGTTGGTTGGGCATTGTTCCGTAAGGTGAAAGGGTGCCAATTCAGCTCCTGGTCAGGGCACCTGACTGGGTTGTGGGTTTGGTCCCCAGTCAAGGCACCAATGAGAAGCAACTGATTGATGTTTCTCTCTTGCACTGATGTTTCTCTCCTTCTCTTTCTCTCTCCCTTCCCCTCTCTCTAAAAATAAATCTTTAAAAATAAGTGTCCAGACTTTGAGAAACATCATTCTTGCAGATAAAGTCCAAACTTTATGATGCAGTCTACGCCCTGCACTACAGTTTCAAATCTGAGCTGCTTCCCAAATCCCTTCCAGACACTTGGATCTTCCTCTTATACCAAATTATACCATGCCTTTCCAGTTCTGGTTCTCTGTCCCTGAGCTGCCCTTTACCTGGGTGGGTTGGCTTCATGCTTCAAGACCCAGCTCAGATATCTTCTCCTCCTTGAAGCCTTTCCTTGACCCATGGCTCCTCACTTCTCTCCCT